TCCCCTGCCCTTCTCCTTCCCGTCATCCTTAGTTTGGTTGCCCCACCTATATACCCTGCTTGGCTGCTGACCAATCAGCGCTCTATTAAACCAACTGGAGTGACGAATCTTTACAGTGTGCAAGAGGGTTATTTCTCAGCGTTTCTCTGTGCAGTTCTGGCTGTCCTGGGGACTCTGTAGACCTGGTTGGCCTTGAACTCCAAAGACTCGCCTGGGATCACAGGCATGTGCCACCACTGACTGGCCAGAAGAATAACTTAGGAAAAGGCTGGGCGGGGCCTGTCCCCAAGGACGCTCCCCTACTGACACACTTCCTCCATCAAGGTTCTGCCTCCTGCTTTCCACCACCTTCTACTAATGTCATCATGTTAGGGGCCCATAAAGGGATGAAGCCAGAGAGTCCTCAGGGCCTAAACCGTTTCTGGAAATGCCCTCACAGACACTATCAGAGGCACACACGTCAGGCATTCTCTGGGTGTTTCTCGATCAGTCTAGCTGACAAGCTTTGTGTTATTTTATGTAATTTTCGTTAAACTGGCTTTCAGGTGGTCCCAAAGCCCCTCCACCCCACCTCCACCTCCACCAAATTTCATAGGTTTTGAGTTTTTTTCCTAGTTGGAGTCCAGTGCAAAGGATTCAGAGTATGGTGACATTAGAAGGCCCTGCCTCTCTCTTGGTGGCTGAGGCTCTGGGTCTTAACAGGAAACCTGTCTTCTCATTGTCTTTACCTCTGGGATGGATCCTGTTGCCTCTGGGATGGATGCTTCCCAGGAAAGCTGCCTGGGCAGTTCCCTTATTATTTTTTCTTCTATTGAAAATCGATTTTCTCTTACAATATTTCCTGATTGTAGACCCCCTCCCTCTACTCCTCCCAGCTCCTCCCTATCTCCCCTCCACTCTGGATTCACTCCCTTTCTGTCTCTCATTAGAACAGATTTTGGGGGGGGGTTGGTTTACGACAGGGGTTTCTCTGTGTGGCTTTGGAGGCTGTCCTGAAACTCGATCTGTAGACCAGGCTGGCCTCAACCTCACAGAGATCCACCTGCCTCTGCCTCCCAAAGTGCTGGGATTAAAGGCGTGTGCCACCACTGCGGGTTTCTAAGAGATAACAACCAAACCTGACAAAATAAAATATAAGATAAAGCGAAAACCATCCGAGTTGGACATGGCAACCCAACGGGAGGGAACGAGTTGCAAAAGAAAGCACAAAAAAAAATCAGAGACCCACTCAATTTTTATGCCAATGAGTCCCATAAAAACAGTAAGCTAGGGCTGGAGAAATGGCTCAGTGGTTAAGAGCACTAACTGTTCTTCCAGAGGTCCTGAGTTCAATTCCCGGCAACCACATGGTGGCTCACAACCACCTTGAATGAGATCTGATGTCCTCTGCTGGCATGCAGGCAGAAGACTATGTATACACAATAAATAAATATTAAAAATAAAAACACTAAGCTAAAAGCTGTATTATATACACAGAGGACCTGGTGCTGACCCGTGTGGGCCCTGTGCTTGCTAATTCAGTCTCTGTGAGCTCATATGAGCCTTGCTTACTTGATTCAGAGGGTCTTGCTCTCCTGGTGTCCTCCGTCCCCTCTGGCTCTTACACTCTTTCTGCCTCCTCCTCGGTGGGATTCCCTGAGATCTGAGGGCACTGGATGGCGACATCTCATTTACACTGTCTCTCCCTGTAATGTCTGACTGTGGGTCTCTGCATCTGTCCCCATCTACTGCCGAGGGGAGGGGCAGGGACTCTCTGATGATGACTGAATAAGACACTGATCTATGAGTATAGCAGAATATCATTAGGAGTCATTTTGACACTTTTTTTTTTTTTAAGACCAGTAGGGTTTGGTTTCACCCCAGGTCTCCAGGCTATCTGGTCTCTGGTTCTTGGTTACCCAAGCAGTGCTGATTCCAGGCAGGGTATGGGTTCCTTCTCATGGAGTGGCCCTTAAGTCAAACTGGTTGGCTACTCCCACAAGTTCTGTGCCACCACGGGGCCACTTAATTTCAATGACGTTACCTGACCGTACATCAGTGGGTCATTCTTCTTCAGATCTACTCAGAATCTCAGATTTTCAGAGTCAAGGACACTGGTCCTCAGATTTCTAAGCACTGATATACCAGCATTATTATGAAGATGAGGGTTCCTGGATTTATATTCATCTAAGAATAGCATTAAAAAACACCAAGCTTCTATTAATAGAGCAGTATTTCCTCAAGGGCATACCACACCCAAATTATTGTGAGTACTACCAACCAAGTATCAAACACATTTGACTATAGAACCATTTTTATTTATAAACTTAAAAAATACATTTTAAAACAATAAAGTGTTGTGGGAGCTCATTTTGCCAGTAGCCTCGGGGTACCAGTCCTAAGGTCTGGTTTTGCCTGCTACCAGACAACTGATAAGCTGAGGGGGAAGGGTCCTTCTCTCTCTTGCTTTCTCTAGGGCGTGGTACTGCAAGGCTACTGGCAAAATGAGCTCCCGGAGCAATAAAGCATTTAACATGCCTGGCACATCAATGCTCTGCTGGATTAGTTACTTTTATGGCCACTCTGGCAAAACTCCTGGCAAAGAAGGAGGGGATTTATTTTGGTCACTGTTTTAGAGCGTCACCATCCATCATGGTGGAGAGGGCACGGCTGAGAAGGCCAAGCGGCTCAGTTCCTGACAGGGGCTTGTAGGTAGGAAGTTGGCCGGAAGGTCAGAGACCAGACAGAAATCAGGGTCCTTCCCCGGTGACCGACTTCCACAAGCCAAGCCAATCTCTTAAAAGCTCCAGCCTTGAGAATAATAGCCCACAAGCCTGGGGATGCAGTGTTCAAAACATGATCCTACGGCAGGCATTCACGCTGGAATCTGTGTTGTTATTACTAGTGTTCCTCTCCCCAACCCCTGATTCTTTCTCTCCTGTTTCCTCAAGGCTTGCTGAGCTCAGTAGACTGGAGTGTGCCCTCTGGGTGACACGGGCAGCTACTGGTGAATCGAATGGCCAATTAGCCAGGGAAGATACTGGGTTCCAAGAGGTTTCCCAGGGAGTAAGGAGGATGGGGAGATGGAATGAGATTGAAGACTCTTCCCACGGGGCTTACCAGCCTTGCTAGTAAGGGGAGAGTACTGGGTGTAGGGGTCATCCGAGAGCCATGATAGATCAACACGTGTGTGTGTGTGTGTGTGTGTGTGTGTGATGTGTTCATGAACATGTGTGCATGTGTATGTATGTACAGGCCAGACATTGACAAGTATCTTTCTCAATCACACTCCTCTTTCGTGCTTGAGTTAGTGTCTCTTGGTGAACCTGGAGCTCAGGGCTTGGCGAGCCCCGGGAACCTCCTGTCTGCTTCTGGAGTTTACAGAACCGTGGTGCAGTGTCCAGCCTTTTAAGTGGGTGCCAGGGTTCCAAACCCGGGCTCGAAAGTTTGAATGGCGAGAACTCTACCGATAGGGCCACCGTTCCAGCCTCCCTGCTGCAAGTTTTAATACCTCACTGGTGCCAAGAACTCCCCACCCCAGCCCTTAGTGTCATGTGTGGGGCAACATTTCTGGTGAAAACTGAGCAAGGGCTTATGGCTCTCACTTGGGTTGAATTAATATATAGCCGCGAAGGCGGCCCAGAAGCAGAAGCAGAAGAGGGTGACGACTAACACAGAAGTCGTCTGAAACTTCTAGAAACGTCAGCCATTCTGGTCTCAGACCTGGCCATGAGTAAGAAAGATGAGATCAAATTGATTTCAAACCTGGCCCAGCTGGGTCAGAACTCTGGTTTAATTCTAGAATCACTCTGTCAAGACGATCCTTGGCCTAGATATGTTCAAGGGCTAGAAAGGATATCCGCACTGATGTCACAGAGGCAGCCTGAGTCCTCCAGACTTTTAGTACCCGAGTATCTGACCCCCTGAGGGCTAAAAGGTTGTGTCCACGTGGAAGGATGTTAAGCTATGATGAAACAACGGGAGTTCTCAAGAAAGCACCAGAGGAGACACTGTTGCCAGGGAACACAAAGGTTTCCAGCTCTGTTGGTTTGGTCCTGGGGCTACCCTGTGCAAAAATCTCCCCCTCCCCCAGTCTCTGCATCTCCTTTTTTTTTTTTTTTTTTTTTTTTTTTTTGGTTTTTCGAGACAGGGTTTCTCTGTGGCTTTGGAGGCTGTCCTGGAACTCGCTTGGTAGTCCAGGCTGGTCTCGAACTCACAGAGATCCGCCTGCCTCTGCCTCCGGAGTGCTGGGATTAAAGGCGTACGCCACCAACGCCCGGTACATCTCCAACTCTTTCTGGAGCACCAGGGACCCGCTAATACACCGAGTAAAAGCCAAGGACCCCAACGACTTCTTTTGGGCCGTGTCACTGTAGTCACCTGTGAAATGGGCGGGTGCTAAAAGCAACCAGCTGCCTCAGGGAGAGCGCGGCTGGTCCGTGCTGGCGAGCGACGGCGGCCTCCGATGCACTCGGTCCTCTGGGCCGGCCTGGGCAGTGTCCCAGCCGCCCGGCGCTCAGGCTCTCTGCGGCAGGGGGAGGCAGCGACACACTGCGGGACGCAGGGCGGCCGCCGCAGAGGTGCCCGCGGCCAGCGCGGGGGATGGGATGGGCGCGGGATAACGGGCGGGCTGCGCCAGGCCCGGCCCGGCAGGCTCTGATCTCTCCAGGTCACCCTCCGTTATCCCCCGCGCTGCGCCCCCACCGGAGAAGACGGACCCGCGGGCTCTCCCTCCGGCGGAGGAGGAGGAGAGGAGGAGTGCGAGCGCGTCGGGAGGGGGGCGCGGCGCTTGGACGCTCGTCCGGGAGGCCCGGGGAGGCCCCGCGCCCGCCCGCCCGCGAGCACGCCCCGCCCGCCGGGAGCGCGCCCGCTCTGACGTCACGCGCCGCTCGCCCAATGAGCGGCGTCCCTGCGGGGAGGCCGCGTTCCCGCCCTCGCCCGCCGCAGCCTCCGCCGCCGCCGCCGCCGGTCACCGCCGCTCGGGCCGCCCCCGGGGGTGGGGTGTGGGGGGGGAAGGAAGCGAGCGTCTGAGGAGGCGCGGGGCCGCGGGCGGACGGTGCAGGCGGGCTGAGACGCCGCACGGCAGCACCGGGCTGCGGACGCCCGGGACGGGCTCAGGGAACCGCTCATCCCCGACCGATGTCCTCAAGATGGAGGCGGCGGGGGCGACGGCGTGAGGAGGGCGGCGCGGAGAGCGCGGGAGCAGGCCGGCGGGCGTCCGGGGCGGCGGGATGGGGCTGCTGCTCCTGATCCTGGCGTCGGCCGTGCTGGGCTCGTTCCTCACGCTGCTCGCACAGTTCCTGCTGCTCTACCGCAGGCCGCCCGAGCCGCGGGCGGACGAGGCGGCCCGCGCGGGCGACGGCTTTCGCTACCTCAAGCCCGTGCCGGGCCTGTCCCTCAGGGAGTACCTCTATGGCGGCGGCGGCGGCGGCGAGGAGCCCGGGGCGGCCGGGTCCTCCGAGGCCGGCGCTAGCACGACCCCGACCTCGACCCCGACCGCGACCCCGACCCCGGACAGCCCTGCGGCCCCTCCGACGCGGGAGACCTGCTACTTCCTCAACGCCACCATCCTGTTCCTCTTCCGGGAGCTGCGGGACACGGCGCTCGCCCGCCGCTGGGTCACCAAGAAGATCAAGGTGGAGTTCGAGGAGCTGCTGCAGACCAAGACGGCCGGCCGCCTGCTGGAGGGGCTGAGCCTGCGCGACGTGTTCCTGGGCGACACGGTGCCCTTCGTCAAGACCATCCGACTGGTGCGGCCCGTGGCGGCCTCGGCCTCGGGCCCGGGCGAGCCCGACGGCGGCCCCGACGGCGGCGACGCGCTGCCCGCCACCTGCCCCGAGGAGCTGGCCTTCGAGGCGGAGGTGGAGTACAGCGGCGGCTTCCACCTGGCCATCGACGTGGACCTGGTGTTCGGCAAGTCCGCCTACCTGTTCGTCAAGCTGTCGCGGGTGGTGGGGAGGCTGCGCTTCGTCCTCACCCGGGTGCCCTTCACCCACTGGTTCTTCTCCTTCGCGGAGGACCCGCTGATCGACTTCGAGGTGCGCTCCCAGTTCGAGGGGCGGCCCATGCCCCAGCTCACCTCCATCATCGTCAACCAGCTCAAGAAGATCATCAAACGCAAGCACACCCTGCCCAGCTACAAGATCAGGTGAGGGGGAGACGGGGGCGGGGGTGGGGGCGCGCTCAGGGGTGAGTGGGGGGAGAGCTGCGGCTGCTCAACCCGCCCGGGGGTGGGGTGGAGTGGGGTGGGATGGGGGTAGGGGGGCCGGTGGCCAGACAAGGGTCGAGGTCCCAGCACGGCCCCCCTGGTCTGCACTGAGCTTCCATCCCTGGACAAGTGTGTGTGGGTCGTCCCCCCCCCCCCAGGCGGAGACGAGTGTGCGTAGTGGGCATTGTCACAAAGACGGCAGTGGGGGCTGGAAGCCCGACCCGGTGCCCCCCGGGAGTGTTGAGGCTCCCTTGCCTGTGGGTGCTGCACCCTGGGGGCTGCAGCTGGGGCGCTGGCTTTTCTGCAGAGTGTCCTGCGCCTCGTGGAGAAGTTGTTCTGGATCCCCTGCAGGCCTGAAGGGCGGGCGGGCTCCCCCAGCCCCAACCCGGTCTGTTCTGTGTGGCACAGGCTCTGTTGAATGCTTTGACAGCCCCCGGGGGCTAAAGGCAGGGGTGGGTGGTTGCAAAAGGGTGTGTCTTAGGAGTTGAGCCCTGTGCCTGGTGGGTGTCCCCTTTGTGGATTTGGAGTGACTGTCACCGGCCGCTCTCCAGTCATCTTGAAGACGGTATTTTAAAGATAGGGATTTTGAGGTTTTAAAAGTCCCCTCTGTAATCTGGTGACCTATTTTTTTTGTGATGCATTGTTTGGATTCATGGATTGAGTTTTCTTCTACTGACATGGAAAGTGGAAGGGGAAATGAACATTTGGAGGATTAGACTTCATCTGTGGGTCTTGGGAGGCTTGTTTGGGTAGAAAGGCTCATGTTTCTTTTAAAACCGCCAGTGTTTTAAAACTTCTCTGTGTGTCTTCCACTGATTCCATGTTCACTGAATTGAGCGTTTTAGATTTCGTTCTTTGAAATTATCCATGTAGTATGGCCTTAAAACTGCCCTTTAGTGGAAATCGAATGTCCCCGGGCATGGGTTTTCTACCACAGTCTCAAGCAGAACGAATTTCTGATTTCTGAAGCTTGGACTTTACCAGTTTATGTTTTGTTAAACTAATAGAATAAAAGGCAGTTTAAAGTGTTGGGTGGCAAGAGAGCTATTGTGTGAGGCACATACTCCCTTGGGTTTGCAGGGGATGGTGAACTGGTCATTCACAGTGCAGGATTTCTAGTTCTGTAAAGTATATATAGTTTATGAAACATACTTTTACGTGATTACATTACCGAGTTGTAGTTTTGAAGCAGTAATGTGTTTATAGTAGTGTTGCTAAGAAAGTCATAAGCAAAAGTTGCAGACTTTGATAATTCATCACAATTCATTGGTCAATCAGATACTACTGCAGAGTGCATCACTCAGTACACATTTTTTGGACGTTTATTAGGTCCTCCTTACTTTTCTCAGTGTTTGGAATTCAGTACTGATCAGAAATAAAGATTGCCACCACCTTCATAGAGTTTGGAGTTCAGTGAGAATTGACTTGTCCACTCACTAACATTTAAACTGGGGTGGAGTGGGTAGAGGGTTGAAATCACTAGAAAGCTGCTTTCAGGTTAGGAAAGGGAAGATAGAAATGTGGGGATGAAGAGTACTGCCTGAGGAAGTCCTAACATTTCTCCAGAAGTGTGCTGCACGGGTGATAGTTGCCGGACTGACTTCGTGAACTACAACACATCTAAGACGAGGCCCCATTCCTACAAAGAGAACGTAGCCAGCATTTATCCTGTCTTGTTATTTGAAAGAATGAAGCACGTAGTAGTTTAAGTCACACAACTGTCAAGTGATGAAACTCAGCTTGGATAAAGTGAGGCTGTCCTTTTAATTTTTTGTAATTTAAAGTAATTTCAACTTCATTTATTCTTTATATTTCTTGGACTGGGAACTATCCACCAATAAATGCTATTGGTGTAAATTTTTGCTTCCTGCTTGCAAAAACTTGCTAATCATTCTGATTAAATGAAGAGATATACACAAAAAGTTTCTTTTGTTTTTGGAGTTAAAAATAACATTTTACACAGGCCAAACTTTTAACCCCAGATCTTAGAACTAAGTCCCATTAAGTGCATCACGATGACTCCATTTAATTATCTTGATTATTAGTAATGGCGGAAAACAAAAACAAAAACAAAAACAAAACACAGCATAAAGGCTCCCAAAGCAGGACAGATTAGCAAATGGGAGAGGGTGCCTTCTTTGGGCACACAAAGTTTTGATCTTGATAACTCGTAACACCACCACATAGAACCTGGAGCCTGGAGCATGCTGGGAAAGCCTTCTGATATTGAGCTTCCCCATCAATAGTTCCACATATCTCCTCCCTTTTTTGTTTTTCTTAAGTGATTTTTTCCAAATTATGATATCATAGCAATAGGCTAGACAGTTTTCTAAATCCACAACTCTGAATAGAATGTAGCTGTGAAACTTCCTACCTGACTTAAACTGGGCCTGTAAAGTTATATTGTAAGGCTAAATCTTTGGGTGGTGTTCTGCACAGCATTTCCTTTTTAATCCCCTAGTTTGTGTTTATCCGTTTGAACATCTAATCTTCTTTAAGAGCTAAAATAGTAAAGCAAAGTATTTTGAGTCTGGGCTCTTTGCTGCCTTAATCGTTATATAACAAGTTTCTTCTTGGTGAACATTGTTGTTCTTTCTAAACTTTTGTTTTTCTTTTTCATCTTCTACTTTATGAACTATTTTAAGGAAAAAGATTAAAACAACGAGGGGAAATTAAGAAACGACTCCTAATACAACAGAACATATTTTTAGGATATTACAGTTCATCTTAGTAAAACCTAGTGTTTTATAAACTGCATCAGTTGGGTAAAATCTAATCAGCCATCATCTGAGTTCTTAGGAAGCTTGACTGTTTCTAGGTCAGACACTGGGGCCCTGGCAGTTGTGAAAGGTCCTTCATCACTGTTGTCGTCTGTCTTCTCTGTGAAGTCTGGGTTATAGTCCTGGGGTGGCCGGGCAGGGATCTCTGGGGCTTGGGAGTCTCAGGAATGCATCTGGGGTTCTCACCCCTTCCAGTGCTGCCACCCTCTAATACAGTTATTCATGCTGTGAAGACCCAGCCATTAAAACTATTTTTGTTGCTACTTCATAACTGTAATCTTGGTACTGTTAAGGTTGGTAATATAAGTACTTGTGTTTTCCCATGGTTTTAGGCGACCCCTGTGAAAAGGTGGTTTGATCTCCCAAAGGGGTCTCTACCCACAGCTTGAGAACCACTGTTTTAGTGTGTGTTTTGCCTGTAGCCAGCACTGGTTGCTCAAGGGAAGTGCAAATTCAGTTGGCCAGCACTGTTATTAGCCCTGCCCTGGTTTCCTAATGCTAAAAGGTGGGAGATTTTTTCCATGAAGTCAATTTTCATGATTTCCATCCATATCTGCATTTGTCGTAACAACAGAAGCAAAAGGAACTGCAGTGGCTAGCAGCTTTGGAGTGAGGCTTGTGTGTGACCTTTTCCCATACTTCATAGTTACTCCTCACCTGCCCCACTGAGCTGGGACCTGCTTTGTTTGGAGTCCTGTCCTCCTTTAATGGAGGGCGATTGTTTTACCTTTTAAATTTTGTTTTTGAAGGAGCTGCCATTGAGCAGTTTACTTTTATTAAAGAGTCTCTGTAATGCTGAATTTTAAAAAGTCATTTTGCCACAAATTAAAAACCTTGAAATATTTCCACTTGATTTGTTGAGTAGTAATAGTAAACAGTGGTGTCTGCCTTTTGTTTGAATTTGGAAAATGTTTTGCTTGAGTGAATTTGGTCAGTAATTAAACAATTCTCAGCTACAAAAGAAGAAACAAAACATACTTAATGGGCGTTATGCTTGAGTTTATTGGATATGGACATGTGAGGATGTCATTTATAGGTGTGGGGTATCTTTTGAGTGTGACTTTGTTGTAACTAATTATTTTGTCCTATCTTTTTATTCCTGTAAACATCCTGAAATATATTTGTAGAAAATTTTCACTTATCCTCAGTGACCGGAAGGCAAAGAAGACCACTGTATTATCCTTGCTAAGGTTGAGGGACAGGGCAATAGCATCATTCATTATATTAATGTAGACACCATTGATTTCCAAGAACTAAATTAGGCTTGGTCTGTAAAACCTCCTACTTTATAATGTAGTTTATACATAATTTATTTTGGGGTCTAATGTGATGAAAAGAAAAGCATTTATTCTTAATGTCAATTCCATTTAAAATTTTTTCCCTGATTATTTGAGGTAAAGATGACTTTAAATAATCCATGCTGTCTTAAAAACTTCCAAAGTAAACTCACAGAAAACTTACAAAACTGTTTGGGAGGTGTATTGTACTTGCTCTTTCAATACTTTTCTCTTTGTGTATAGATAACTTTGGAAAGTTATGTTCCCTTTAAGGTGGCTACTAAAATTTCTCAGTGGTTATGATAATTGTTAGCTTTACTTACTAATATTGCTAGGAAATGTAACGAACCTTTGGTACTTCAAGATAGTAGAAACAATGGCATGAGTGTGTTATTGTAGCTATCCTGAAGTAATGATGTAATATAATGCAAAATTTCATCTGCTGTGTTTTTTTTTCTTGTATTATGGCTCAGAGGAAATATGTTTTCTTCTGTTTTGTAAATGGAATTTCAAGATCATTTTCTCAGAGATGAATCCTGAAGTCATTTTAAAAGTCATTCATTTTTCAGAAAATGCTAATCATATACTGCACATACCTACCTAGCTTTGTTGGGTGTTGGGTTGATAAAAATGGTTATAAGGTATTCGTGTTCTCTAGGGCAAACAAATAGTTCATAACAGCAGCATCTGGATATGTTGAAGATGGTAAGTTTGTGAGGAACAGGAAGAGGAGAGATCAATATCTCTGCTTAAGCAATTAGATGATTACTTGTTTTATATATAGCATAGTATGTCTAGGGAAAAACTTTATATGTAGGGTTCAGTACTACTCAGTTGCATGTATCCACTGGAGTTGTAGAGTGTTGCCACCATGGATCAGAAA